ATTGTAGAGATGAGGTCTCGCTGCCCAGGCGGGTCTCGAACCCGCGGGCTCAGGCAATCCACTCACCTCAGCCTCCCAAAGGCACGGGATTACAGGCTGAGCCACCGAGCCCGGCAAAAAAGACATTTTAACAACAGCAAAAAGTCTCCAACATATTGGCCATCTTTCTCTTGCTTACTAACTAGCTGCATGACCCTTCTCTGGGTCTGTTTCTGCGAATGCAATTGGAGTTGCTGGAGCTTCTCAAGTCCTGTTTTCGCTCTGACAGTCAATCTGTGGCTTTACGAATCAGAGTTGGAGTCCCCTCGACAGCAACAACAGCTGGGGAACAACAACCCACGAGGTTCAAATGGGGACTCTCTTGGGACTTAGTGAGGGCCCAGAAATGTGGGCCTTTCTCTCCCCTGGACCCTCCCTCGCTCCACACGGTCCTGTGCAGACGCGGACTAGGCGACAACCTCTACATAAATCTGTGCTCCGGGACCCTCCCTGGCCGCTGATTGGCTGCCCCTGACGACGGTGGGCGGGACACAGCCCTGGATTGGACGTCTCGATTGGGTACCCGCGTACACTCTCCAGTGCCCCAGGGAGCTGAGGGGGCGGATCCCGACTCCAGCCCGGGGACCTGTGGGGGGGGGCCGAGACGCGCGGTCCGGAGCGGGAATCGCCACTGAGAGCCGGGGCCTGCAGGGGCGGGGCGTCTTGGGCGCCCGGGATTGGCGTGTCAGGAGCCGCCTCCCGTCGTGCACCGGGGCGCTGGCAACTCACCCGGAAGAAGAAGCCGCGGTCTGGCTATATGGTGGGGCGCGGGCGGTGTCGCTGTTGGGACCTGGCGCTGTTCTCAGGTGAGACTGTGTGGGCGGGGCCCCGGGGAGTGGGAGCTGCTCTCAGGTGACGGGACGCGGGCTTGAGCGTCAGTAGTGGCACTCGGGATTGTGGCCTCGCCTTACATCCTAGGAAAGGGTTTGTCTCACCACCCGGAATGAAGGCAGGGCTTGCTTGACATCCAAGAGAGAAAACCCGACTTTTCAGTTCACTTTGAAAGTATAAGGTATTTTTTTTCTCCTGCTCCCCACGCTTAATCGCGAAAGAAGAAGGACCGTGTAGACCTTTTGCTCGTAGATCGTTAAGCATGAAGAGGGAGTGGCTGTAGTAGGAAAAAAAGTCTTGGGACATTAACCCAAACGGCTAGGACGAGGGAGCCATGGCAAGTATTGTGCACGGACATAAATGACTTGGCGCTAGATTGTGGTCGCTTCTGTTATTTACCTTCCAGGGGGACGGAGGAGCAGGTTAACGATGGACAGAAAAGATGGAATATAGCTACTCGGTTGAGATCACACAGTTTGGTTAGACAGGGGAGCTTCTAGTACCTGCGGGCTCAAGAGTGAGTAAGAGGGGACGGGAGTCTCGGTAGCTCAATCTGCGTTTATTATCTGGTTTGTTTTTTAACTTGTGTCTTGAAGTGGTTTAAATGGGAGAGAAAATGACACTAAAGCCTTGAATTGCTATCTTGAAGTTTTACTGCACTGGAAAGATTTACAAGCTTTATGATGAATCTACTTTAAAAACAGCAAACACCTGGGTTCTGGAACCAGACCTGTTGGTGCTGGTACAGGTGGAAAAGTAAAGAAAACTTCAGATGTGATTGAAAGGGCCCAGGAGATGTAGTTGGTGCTAAGTTATGTAACTATCTGCGAGGATTGCTGACTCTGACTCTATTCTTATTTGGATGACACACAGATGGACACATCTTGAAGTTTACAGAGCTAGAGTAAAGAACTTCCTGCTTCTCCAAAGGCAGAACTGA